TCTAAATTTAACGTCTTTAAAAAATAAATCACTTTATAATTTAATTAGGTTTTCACCTAAAGGGAAAGTGCTAATAAAAGCTCAGATAAGAGAAAGTGGGCTTGGATAATTGGTTTAAAAAGAATCCACATAATCATAGGGCTTAATATTTTTATCTACAATTTAGCTCAAAGTCATCAGAATGACTTTTATATCAAAGAGCTTCAGAGAGTGACAAGAGCAAGACTTGCTTTGTACTGTTTAAAAGTCATTATTCTATGAAATAACTTTAGCCTGCCAAGATGAGAAAGAATAACAGATGCTGTTTTTGCATTATCTGCATTATTTCAACCAGCCATCCTTAGACATTTGGGTCAAATTTCTAGAAATTTGTTACTTGCATTTGACAGAGGAATCATGTATCTTAACCTCTCAGTTTGACCTTTCTAATTGGCTTCCATTTGTAATATGTTACTTTCTGGGGCAATTATCCTTAAGCTGTTCCAAGTTTAGTCTATTTTTTGCAAGTACTATGGCATAAATCAGAATATTTTAAAAGTTAAGATTTTCACTCAAAACAAACCAGTAAGAGAAAGTTTCTTTGCATGCACTGTGTATTATTATGAGGTTAGATTTTGAAGGTGTTTTAATCTTTTATAAACTTAAAAGTAGACTGAGGAAAAGTTATTCCGTTCAGATGTGTTTAATCATTGTTTTCTATTCTGTATGTGGATTTTTTTTTTTTTTTTGCTTTTATACAGTTCTCATGAGAACTCATCTGTATGTGAATTTTAAATAATATTTTAAAATAAAATTAAATGCCCTGAGAATGATACATTGGACTTTGGTGACTCAGGGGGAAAGGGGAGGGGGTTGGAGATAAAAGACTACACATCGGGTACAGTGTACACTACTGGGGTGATGGGTACACCTAAATCTCAGAAATCACCACTAAAGAACTTTTTCATGTAACCAAATGCCACCTGCTCCTTAAAATCCTATTGAAATAAAAAATAAAATTAAAAAATGTAATACCCTACTTTTTTCACAGTGATGCAGAATGTTGTCCCTTAAATAAATGAAAAAAATTTAAAAATATATTTCTATGAATACTATATTACAGTTTGCTAGAGCATAGTAACCAGCTCAAAAAATGAAATGGTAAATTGTTTAATAGTTCTTGCAATAGGTGATTTAAGAATTTAACAAAGGATTTCCATTTATGCTGCTAAACTGATATTTTAGCAATTTATTATATTTAGATTATATTTAGATTGTTACCCTATAATAATAGGCAATACTTATTGAGCACTTATAACACACCAGATAGTATTCTTAGCACATTGCATGTATTATCTCATCGAATCCTCAAGTAACTACAGAAATTGCTCAAATTCTGTCTCTTCCAAAAGATATTAACAAATCACTTTAGATGTTAAGAAAAGTAAAATTATAAAAGTCTTACACATTAAACCAAGTGGCGTTTTCGTTGAAGTTTTTAAAGATCTATAAAATAAAATTATATATAGTAAGTTTCAATTGATTGCTATCAGTTGAAACTTTCTATAACTTTGAAAATTGAAAAAGTGATATTCTAATAATTTATTTAATAAAGACTATAAAGAATCAGAATTAAATGACTAACTTTAAACAATAATTGCTTTCAAAATGTTTTAATGTGAAGAAAATAAGTATGCCACAGAAAAAGCATAAAGCACCTTTAAGTTCCGTGTGTATATACTAATACAAATAAATAGAATCTGTGAGTGGGAAAACTAAGCTGAACATATTCTATAATCTTTAAAATGTTTTAATACTTCCCAGGTAATGGAAACTTTCATAACAAAGCAAATAAATAGTTTATGAACTGATCACAATATATAAAACTGGTCTGAATAAATTTTTGAGAATGCAAAATTAGTTTTCATAGTATTAAGAAATCGTTATTTTTGATGTGACAAAAATACAAGATAAAAATTCTTCAAATTAATTAAAATTTGTCTATGAAAGTCACAGTCTTCTAATTATTGGTTTCTTCCCTCCCTACTTGTTAATATGAAAATATTTTACATTACTGAGACCCGATTTTTGGTATTATGAGTAGCTTGTAAAATTAAGTAAGAACCTCATCTACTTCACAATCACTATAAACTTGTAAGTTTAAAATGTGGTGAAATATATTATTGCCATGTTTCTTCTTATGTGGCCCACTTCTAAGAAATAAGTGGATGGCTACCCCTTTGAGAACGCTATTTTCAAATACACTTAGGCTTAAACTTTTTGTAGACTCTATAATATCTTTTTAAGTAAATTAAATATTTAAATTATTACTTCTAGAAGCATACAAAATTCCCTTGGTTAAATGTAAATATGCTTTTTAAATAATTAAGTTCTTTGGGCAAATTGTCTTACCTACCAACTTGGAAAATTATTCTGTTTTACAAATGTAAAATCTTTATAGCACCTTTAACAAATATAAAGTGGTTCTACTTACACTTGCATGGAGTTTTCCTTTTTTTGACATCGCTAAAAATTTGTTGCTGAAAACTCCTCGTATTCCTACAATCCCCTGAGACACAGCAAATATTTCCAAAATACCTAGGATGACAGAAATCCCAAAATAAAACACAGGCTCTTCTTTATATCATTGTGAAGAATTAAATTTCTACATAGATTCTTTCCATTCTTTATTATTGTGATTTAAAAAAAGAACTTAGTATTTAACATCCTTATTTTTCATGACCTTTACTATGTTAAAAACAAAGAAGGCTAGGATTCAAGTGTTCATTTAAAATAATTTCAAGATTCAAAAATTTGATTCTACTTCATCAGTAATTATTTGGACAAATAAGTCACTTTTAGTACACAATGAGCATGAAGTTTTCTCAGGTTCTAAAGAAATTAAAAAGACATTTAAAAAATGTTTTGCAAAATAATTCTTCTCCATTATTTCTTCATCAAAGATAATACACTACTTTGAATATTAAAGCACAAATCTGTGCTCAAGACTAGTATAACTATTTGAAAGTCTGGAAAATAATACTTATTTACGTTAAATAAATTCCTCTACTCTAATTATCATGGTTATAATGGTAGTTACAAATAAACATATACTATACTCAGTCTTTTAGTGACTGCATTTAAAGACTACATGTAAGATACTGAAAGCATTATAAATAACTTAAAATTATTGGTTCAATGAAATGTTTAATGGATTATGCTTTGAGACATCTGGCATTTTGAATCATTTCCTAGAAAAAAATTAATGAGATAATTTATTACATTATTGTTTATAGTTTGTATTTCATAGTTAGCATTATGAAGTCAATGTTCCCTGTCTCCTACAGTAATTTCAAAGTTCACATCCACTGGATCAAGAGAATTACACACCAAAGTTCATAGAGTAGTTTAATAAGATAAAACACATAGTCTGCACTTAATTAGAAAGCCTGCTTATTTAAAATAAATCATGTATTTTATATGAACATGAAAAGAGCACAATGTTTTTTATTAGTTGTCTATTTCAAAATTTCAAAAGTTGTCTATTTCAAAAAAAGATTTTTAGCTCAATAGAGCTAAAAAGGGACCTGTCTTAGAAAGGAAAAAGGGAAGCCAGGTGCAGTACCTCACGCCTGTAATTCCAGCACTTTGGGAGGCTGAGGCTGAAGGATCGCCTGATACCAGGAGTTCAAGACCATCCTGGTCAAAATAGTGACACTGCATCTCTACTTTTAAAAAGGAAAAGAAGGAAGGAAGGAAGAAAAGAAGGAAATAAAGAACAGAGGGGAAGAAAAAAAGCACATCTCAATATTTCCATCTATAATATTCTGAGCATATATACTAATTAGGATATCTCAATAGGACTCTGCCAAATAGAGAGATTCATCAGATTTTCTTGAACAGCAAACTCTCCCTGCAGTATTTGAGGCACATATAAAATTATTCTGCTTACCAAAAATAAGAAATATTTTATAAAATTGAGCATTTGTATTGTGCAATGTGAGCTAACATCTATAATTCTAGCAAGCATTGCTGTTTATTTATTCAACTTGGTTTCTTAAAAAACTTCATTAGAAAGTTTATGTGAAAAAGGGGATAACTGAACAACTTTTTAAAAAATAAATGTTTTTAGCCCAAAGTAAATAAAACACACCTTAGGGAAACTGCAGGTACCAGTTCATTAATAGGTGTTTCTTTAAATTGAAAAACAGAAACCAAAAACTATTGGAAGCTACTTTTGCTGTTAGAAGGAAACTGAAAAAAAAAAAAAAGAAAAAAGAAAAAACAAAACCACTAGTGTCGTATAAATCCTTTCCTTCAAAATGTTTTTTAAATGCTATTTATAATAGAGTTTATTATAAACATTATTTGAGTGTGCTTCTAAACGTTTAGAAGCATATCATTTTATCAAATATTAACAAAACACACCAAATGCTTTGTGAAGTTAAATACTCTACACAGATGTAATATGTTATAATAATATTATTACTAAAGCATGACTATAACAGTGATACCAAGTTAAATATCTATCAGAATTATGGAATTATATTGAGAAGAGCATTAATGATTTTAGATATTTGGGAGATGGGGGATGTGATTGTGAATATTTATGTAAACATGTACATTCAAAAATGGGAAAGAAAGAAAGTGAGAAATTGTATATGTGTGGAATGATAGATACAAAAGGGGCAACACGGAGTCGATAGAGGAGAGATTTGGTTATATATTTACTCCAATTTAATCATGGTACTAAATTGTTAGAGGCTTTCAATTCCATTCTCTGGAAAATGATCTGGTTTTGAATATGCAGATATATTGTATATTAATGAAAAAATACATGGTAGAGTAAAACATAAAAGTCTCATAAGTGTATGTGTTTGTATGCTAACTTTTAAGATGTTGAGATAAAAAGGCTTTATAAATATTTGTTTTAATAGAAATACTACTGCTTTGCTTAAATAGCTTCTGATAATTAGCTTATTCTCTTTTTAAACAAATATCCATTTAGATGCATTTAACTTGTATTTCAATACAGTGTACACTCTGTGTGTAAATATTATATACAATTTGCATGTAATGTATTTTAAATATGGGGAAGATGAAATAATATATGTGAAAGTGTTATTATTGTGTTACATATTGCAGGG